AGGGAGGGAGGGAGGCTAACAGGAAGCCTAGGAGTGCCTCACACCTCAGGTAAGGCTGTGCAGACAGTTCAGTCAAGACAAGACCTGGATGTGACAGCTGAGCAAACAGCCAGAGCTTCAGCAGCTCAGCAGGAAGCTGCACCAGGTTTGGGTTCCTGCCTCCCTCCTGTGGAGGTCAGGGGGAAGTGCAGGAAGTGGCATGAGTCAGTCTCCTGGGGCTCCCAAGCAGGAGAGACAAGTACAACTTAAGTACAAGTTGAAGGCTCATTTCCCAATTCCCAGAAGTGAATAGTATCTAAAAAGTGACCTTGTAGGACCACCATAAACTGTTAGGGGATCCCTAAAAAAAAAAAAAAAAAGCCAGGCTTTTAGTGCTTATTGCCTGAAACAAAAACTCCACTGCAAAGGACAACACTATGGAAGTGTTTCCTCTTCCCTCCCCACCAAAAGGAGAGGAAAGGCTACCATGTAGGTAGAGGAGCCAGGAACCCAGAGTTCCAAACACGGCCACAAATACCCCAGGATCACTAAAGGCATTCGAAAACAGTATGAAAGTCAGTGTACCAGGAACCTTATGTATGTTACCTTTTTTAAGGCTCACATGACTCTTTAAGGTAGGTGTTAACATCTCTATTTTACAGATGAGGAAACTGAGGCTCAGAGAAGCCAGGCAAGTTCCCAAAGGTTGCACAGTCTGTGAGCAGGAAAAGAAACACCCTAGGCTGACTTAGTCTGAAGCCCATACTCTCTCCAGTGTGGTGCACTGTCCAACGTTATGGAATGATTCTGTTTATTGGGGAAAATTTCCAAGTCCTTAGGGAATAAATACATCAGCAGATAAAAGTTCTGAGTAGAAAGCCAAAGCTCTCGGTAGGGGTGACCAATTTAGATATCTCTAGGTGTCCCTCTCCCCCATTATGGACAGAACAGTTGCCATGGAGAAGGAATCAACAAATGCACAAAGCTCAAAAGTGTTGTCCAAATCTCGAATGGTGTCAGTTTCTGCATGGGAAAGAATCAGTTTATCCACACTACAAATTCCAGGATGCAGTCAAGGGAATGGTAAGTGGAAATTTTAATTTACTGCAGTACTAAGGTAGATTAAATCTAATAATCAAATGAAACCTTTTATGGTACATGAAAGAGGCAGCACCCAGGACCAGATATGACAAAGGGACAAGAAACAAAGAATTAGGGGTTCTCAGCACAGTCAGATGAGACAAAGATGGCAAAACTGCAAGAAGTATGTAGCCAGAAAGTTCCAGGCATCCAGTATTGGCATTTGATTTACTCCAGGGCAAATGCAAATAACTCATGGGCTTCTCCAGTATGAATGAATCTGTCCCTATTGAATAACCCATTCCCAAATCATTCTGTCTCTTCTTCCCTTTATACAAACAAAACAAATAATTACAACCAGAACATTCCTCTCTCTATTCAACTGTATGCCAGGTTCTCTTTCTTCTGTCACCCCAGAGAAGCTAGGATGCCACCCCACAAACTACTACTGGTAATTAGGTTCTCCCACTCTAACCTAAATTCACCCTCCTCCCTCCACCTGTCCCCCAACCCAAAATTGGACCCCAAGGGAAGGTTATAGGATTCCATAAAAATTTATCCCAACCCCCACTGCATCTCCAATTTCCCTCTCCACCCCACACTAAAGCAAAAGAAACACCTTTACCTCCCCCTGCAGGGACCATTTATTTTCAACCCATTTCCCTAAATACTCTAACACCTCATGTAAAGACCTGAAAATGATGGGGAAGGATATACCCCAGGCATCCCACCAGGAGACGAGCTCCTCCTGGCAAAATGAGAGATCAAAAGAAACAACTGCTTAATGCACACTCATAGTCTTTCTGGATAGTTACCCTGAATTTCCCAGGGGTAATCAGAGTCCTTTCTCAGGGAACTTGAATGCCAGGCTGAAGAGACAGCTACTATGCTGGAGTCCTTGTAAGCATCACTATTTCCTCAACTGTGTTCTCCCCCCCCCCC